CCTCCCCGGTGGACGTACATTGGGGGAAACCAAGAGGGGAGAAGGGGCGGGCCGGTGTAAAACATATTAAATAAACACTGGATCCCCAATGGCTAGTTTCGACACCCAGGGGAAGACGACCAAAGAAGTATAAACCATTGGGATATTTCGAATGCCTTATTGACGGGACCCCACTCCAGTACCGTTATTAAATAGTATTTGGAGCGGCCTGGTCTGAGAAACGCCGTCCATTGAAGGTAGGAGACAGGGCGGCACATGTACACTAGGATTTAGAAAGCAAGAGATAGACGGCCCTTGACGTTCGGAGAGGCGATTAATAAACATTGACATGTAGTGCGATATCAGAAGACACAGAAGAAGTTGAACATGATATTGAATGCATATGACGGACCACAACCTTATATCATGAGCATGCTAAGCTCAGAACCAGGACAGCAAGGATTAGAAGAAATAACGGCCATCGGAGAGAATTGAGCTGTGTGTGAGGAGACCATGGAGAACTGGCAGCTATCTGGTGAGTGACAGCGTTAGCTAACAGCAGTTAGCATAACGCCACATCAACAACATTGTGAAGTTAGCTATCAATATATCAGGCTATAAACGTTAAAAGCTAGCATTGATAATATAAGTAACGTTTACTGGGCAGACTGTTGATACCTGATCCCATAACAGAAAACTAATGCGCAAGTCATCAGCGTATCTCGGCGGCGTTACTAATGCAACTCCACACTACGGTGCTGTGTACCGGAGCGAGATACGGCTGATACTTGACCAGTGATCACATTAAGGATTTTGGAGAATGGCCTGTGGGCCATCTAAGCTAATTTACCAGATGGCACCTGAGGGCCCAATAAGAGATTGCCCTGAAAAATGTGCGCGGACGAGAAATGATGCACGAAGGATCTGGGGGCCTCTTTTCCCTAAGAAACCATTAGATTTTGGCAGGTCTTTAGATGCTGTCTGGTGCATTCTATAGACTGAATTATAAGATGAAACCCCACCCACGTATTACAATTTCAAATTGTATTTCTTCCATTTCACTTGTTTTGTGGTTTTGGGCCTCGGCTTGCATGCCCCTGGCCATAGCTATAATTTTACTTAGGTTGTTGTCAAGGACCAACTTTCCATCTGTGAAGGCAAAAATTGGCCTCTCCCAGATGTAAAAAAGATAGAAAACATTACTGGCAGTTATAACTGGCCAAAAACAAACATTATTATACTGCTATTATGGCCCTGTTAAAAATGTTGTAAGTTTATCCACTGTAAGTTGGTCGAAAGGAATGCCTCCTCATCAGAAGCTGACCCGAGGGGCGAAACCCGAGCAGCAGCCGGACTGATTCCGCGAAGCCACACAACCAAATGGCGGACGTCAGAGTTTCCCCGTTGGCAGAGCAAATCTTAAATCTTCCTTTTGGTCCAAAAATGTCCGGTCAAAATAATTTCCCTTTAGCACCAGCTTCGTTGCGCCAACTTATGTGACAGACCAAGAAAGAGTATTTGGACAGACAAGAGTAGTCAATATATAATGTGTAACACTTGATGTTGGAGAAAGAGATGTGCTTATTGGGTTGATTGTGCGTTGATCCTGTGGCTAATGCCTCGGGGTTCCGGTGGGGGCATGTAAACAAATGCAATAATGCTGCGCTATACTTTGTGCCCTTCACCCAGGTTGCATAGCGACACTTATTGTTAGGTCCACGGTGTCTTTTAATAAGCAGGTAAGTTCATATACTATTAGCTAAAACTAGGACTGGATCTGAGTCGATAATGACATAAAGCGGAGTGAAGTGCAATAATCTGACGTCTGATAGATAAAGAGATCAGCTGCTTGCTGTCGACGAGTCCGACACCCAAGCTCCGGCATGAAAACCATGGCAGTCGGTGAGCCGGTACAAAAAATCACTACAACCTTCAGGTTAGGAATATCAACACGAGCCTATTAAATTACCGTCCCAAAATCACGACTATCCTGTAACTAGTTATAAGGATATGTTCATATTTTACACTGTCGGGTCACTCGATAACTGGTCCCGCGAAGGGTGCATGGATACGGTTATAAATAGATTGGCCGATCGGCAAACTAGCAGGTGAAAGGCTTCATTGGCCGAGCCTAAATTACTAGAAGGCCCGCACCTTCGGGGCACGTCCTTAATGTCGAGCCTGTTGACGATCCGTTGGCGGAGGAGAAGGGTTGTGGGAGCTCCGTTGATATGCCCGTTGTAAATGGCTTGACTGGAAAGGCAGGTGTGTAGTTCGGGGAGGGTGCACAGCTGATTGCAGCCAGGCATGGAGTGGGAGGTGAGCCGGGAGCCAGGAGTGACAGCCACCCCACGCACACACAAACAATATACAGAAAGGGAGAAACAACCAAACAAAACACAAAGGGAGACGGCTGGAGCAGTAACAGAAGCCACCACCCAAGCGGTTAACCCAATGCAACTCCAACCACTTTATGTCTTACGGTGCCGTGTAGCACCGAGAGGAGAGAGAGAGTGAGCACCGAAGGAAGGGGGGGGGAGAGATGTAAGTACGGTTTTCCTGATAAAGCTGTGGAGAGTATGTGCTGCAGGGAGGTGGTCAATGCACAACGCACCAGGAACGGAACGCTAGCCTCAGTCTTTTTACTGTGGACTCGATGTTCCTGACAGGGACTGGTATTTTTTTGGAACCTGCACAGCGATCACAATTATCTACATTATACAGACATGATTACAATATACTAACAAGCGGTTAACTCATTTACATACCTTATGTATTATTAGACTGAACGAAAAATACCAGCTCACTAAACACAACCGCCTCAACTCAACGCAACTCTTACCTATACCCGCGTCATGAGAGGGAGATGTTTACCTTTGTGATGTAATATGACGCGTTTGACGTATGACCTTAAAAAAAAGCCGTTTAAGAGCAGAGCTCAAAATTGCTCCTTTCCCTCTGAATTCCCTGCCATTATGTCTCGTAAAAACATATCAAATCCTACATTCACTTTTTTAATTGTAATTTTCAAGCAAGTTTAAGCATAAATGTAGAAAAAAACAAAACCTGCAAGATGCTCTTTAAGCAACCTGGGAAAGGTTCTGCAATGGTTCAAACATATCCTGTCAGCCACAAATGACCATGTAATACAATATTTTGTTCTCCTCTTCTTGCCCCTGCTTGTCAATCAGGGAAACATCATGCTCCCACATTGTGAAGGATCATGTAGTATTGATCATAATGTCCTTCTTAAGATGAGTTTGAATGTGGGTGATGAGGATTGAGAAGTATGTGATCCTTCAAATGAATTATTGATTCCTGTATGCTGTCAAAAACACGAGTTGAATGAAAAAGCAGGGTTAAGATTTATAACAGTTCATGTGTGTGTGGTACCTCGTTGCAGTCGATGCCGTTGTTGACAGACCAGGTGGTCTGAAAATACTCCAGCATTCGCTGCTTCAGGCTCTGCGGCAGGTGATGGACACGTATGAAGTCCTTGAGGTCTTTGGTTCTGGTGTGGTACTGGGACCAGCGAGAGTATATCCTCTGGATAATGGCCGTCACATTACCAAAGACCAACGCATGCATCAGTGCTGCAGGGGTGGAAAGAGAGGAGAGTTAAAGGAGAGATAATGTAGCATAAGCATGAATCTATCTATTACTCACCTGGTGCTACCTTGAATGTTTTACTCTCATGCCTCCATGATAAGCAAAGAATCCAGAAATGGAAACAATATTTGGGTAAAGTGTTTTAAGATACTAAAGTTTTAACTTTTAGGGTTTGTAAAAAGAATTGTTGTGTTGATATAGTTTTGCTGTTGTTAACTCTGACCCATTTGGTTTAATACATCAAGAATTTTCTAAGTTTTTCTGATTCTTTTTTCACATTGGAGGCATGAAAGAAAACAAAGTGTTTTTTACAAATACAAGGTACCACGGGGTGAGCAATTGATTTACAAATGATCATTTTGGTGGTAAAGTATTTCTTTAAGTGCTGATTGTAACAACTGCTTGAGTGGAAATTGCAAAACCCCAAATTAAAAAATATCTAATTTCTTATCTGTTGATTAAAATAAATATTTCTGCCATGTGAATATAATTAAACATTAGTCCTATTGAAATATTTCTGCAATCAAATAAGCACGCAAACCAGTCAACCAGGTAAACATTACATTAGAATTCATGTGTTGCACCTCTGCACCTCAGAGACAGAAACATCAGTGTCTGTCAGGACTGAGTGGTTCTGATTTGATTGGTATGACAGAAACCTGCCTTTTACTCGCCCACAGATAATATATTCTCCTAATCTTGTTTGGCTTCCAGCTGTGCGGCAACAGCTGACCTAAAAGCCAAGTCAAGTGTCACTGTTGTGCATGACTCCTTTTATTGTGCCATGTTAACAGTGTTGTAAGAGGTAGATCCAATTATTCCTCTTTAGGATTGCAGTTATTACATTCCTTCCACACGTTGACATATACTCGGCTATAAATACGAACAGGTGCTTCGTGTTAGTTTTCATTTCCTGTTAACACACAGGGGATGGGATGGGTGTGGGTTTGTGAAAGCATGCGTCTGTGTGTGTGCCTGCCCCCAGGCAGCCAGGGACATTTAACATTTAGCCGAACCAGAGTGGGAAGCGTCTACAGGGAAAACCCCGTCAGTGACCTCCCTTCATACCTAAAAAACAATCCTGGTGTAACGAAGCAGTTTGAACTGGATCACACTATCCTTTAAGTGTTGAGAGAATAATTAAACTATTTAAAATCCCTCTTGGATCAGCTGGAAAAGGCTTTGCCAAAGGTTTATAAAGAGTTGTTTTTCTGAGTACACAAATTGTTTACTTGTTGGAGATACATGTTTCTCACAGGACAGCAATGCTTCAAACAAATGAAGAATATGATGAATTGCTGTAGAAAATGATCCAACAGTAGGTAAAAACACAGTATATCACAGCCCCAAAAACATCAGATATAATAGGAATACACTGTCAGAAAACGTTTTACCGCACAATTTCTACTTTTACTTTCGATTCTTTTTGCTTATTATAGTAACATACCTTTTCAACAGTAATGTAACAAATGCATGACTTGTACTTGTAGTGAAGTATTTGAAGTATCTCTATGGCTTTGCTTTTACTTAATGACCTAAATACTTCTTCCGCCACAGAAACTAATACTATTGCAATCGGATTTTGTTGATATTGGTATAAAACAAGACATCATGGATAACCAGTTTTGTAGATAAACAGTAAAGGTATACATGCTGTTGTCTGAAGTTAAACAGTGAGAGTCATATTCATATGTGTGCTGCTCGCTGATGTCTATACTCTGTGTACCTCCTATAAGCATGACGCAAATAGAGAAGATCTTCTCGATGTCGGTGTTGGCCGACACGTTGCCAAAGCCCACGCTGGTCAGGCTGCTGAGGGTGAAGTAGAGCGAGGCGATGTAGACGCTGCGGATGGCGGGGCCGTTGCTGGTCCCGTTCACAACTCCTATGGCATAGTACGGAGACTCCAGACGCTTCCCCAACTCATGGAGCCATCCTGGTTTTAGGAGGGTGAAGAGGAGATATTCATGGGAAGAAAAGAGATATGGAGAGTTTCAACTGGTACTTATTCCCTTTTTTTTGTGATTTCCAATATTGGCCAACCATATGTCAGAAGAGTATGGTCATTAAGAGCCCAACTTGGGGAAATAGTTTTAAAGAAAGCTTGTCTGTTCAGAGAATTGTATACAGTAAAGAATAAAAGGAACTATCACAACAAGTGCCTGATTATTATTTGTCATCCCATCATCCCAAAGCTGGGTGCAGTGAAGCGTATTGGATGCAGATAAAAGCTGACAGCATTGTTTCCTAGTTATGCAAACTGTGGTAAGAAGGTCTTTCCTCTGTGCTACATCTAAAACAATGGATTTAGCAGTAGAAGCATATCAGATGCTGTGGAACCAGAACCGATCCCTGGTCAGTTTATTGTGCATGATATCCAGCTGATCCCAGGAGAGCCTCCTACAGACACTGATGAATGGTAATTGGATGGAAGCCCCTCATAGCTGCCCGACTTCAACACGCATAATTAGGATACGACGCATTAATCCTGCCTCATGCCCCAACCCGTTATGCCATGACACTGAGATGCAGTAATTGGTGGGGAGAAATCTTCATCGTCGTCATGACCCAGTCAATGCTTACCCGGAACCAGTTATGAAGACAATTCGGAGCGAGGTCATTGCAAGCGTTGCAGCTCATTGATACTGACCAGAGACCAGCCCGGGGGGCCTCATTATATTAGGGACTGAGGGGGATACCGAGAGGACTCACGCCATCGCTGAGTCAATATTATTCACACATAAGCACCTGCATGCCAGCACAAACAACTCATGCCTCTCTCTGATTCACCATTCAATAACTATTTAACAAACAACTTAGTAATCAATCCAATCCATGAGGAAATCATAACCTAATTTAGTCATTACTGCAGTCCATTTATATACTTGTGTAAAGTGCTTCATTTAATGCTGGTTGTACATAAACACCTGCTATAATAGCTTGAAACCCTACAGCGATGAAATCGATGATGGAAAACAGGTCTACAGCTGAATATCACATCTCACCTGCTGAGAGAAAAACCCTGCAGGTTTCACGCATCGATAGCTTTTCAGAAACACGGTTCATTTGGAAATAATGAGCTATGAAACTGTTATGCACCACAGTATTGACACGTTAACCAAGCCCCAGATATTAGGGGGTTTATGTAAAAATAAAAAAGGCAAAACATTTTTCGATAAATGTGATAAATAAAATAATCCAACTTTTTAGCTTTAATTGCTTCAATATGAACAACAAGCCGTGACCCATTTATCCTATGGTCTTTGCTGATAAAGCCAAGTGTTTCCTCTATATGGATTTAGTTCAGAGCTCGACAAAGCTAGATAATGGATACCTCAGATAAAAAGAAAACACTTTATCTGGCTTCCCCGATTGCACGCTTGTAAAAGAAAACACACAAACAATCACATGTGCATCAGAGCAAAACCATCTGTGGCTCACGCTATAGGTATCCATATAAGAGATATACTATTTCAGAACTTCCACACTTGAAGTTTACTGCAAGTAAACTGAGGTTGAATCCCAGATCTACAGAATGTCTAATTTTAAACCATATGAAACTGCACCCAATATACTTGATGCTTTACGGTGCTTTACAACATTAAACAACACCATGCACATGCTTTAAGCCCACTTCACATGCCATAGAACTTTCACGAAAGCAGCTGTTAATCATTTCGATTCAAACATTTGTAAAGAAACGTTCTAATTTCAAATTCACTGCAACTACATCCCTTTGCCAACTGGACGCCCTGTAACTGCATTAACTGTTCATTCACAATGTCGGAGTTTTGTGGGAGAATGTATTCTAGGGAAACTCAAAGGCAATTTGATAAAAAAAAAAGGATTTTATTTGCTAAATCTGAATAGAAAATGTTATTATGTGTCATGTTTTGTGTTGAATCATAAGATGAAGTGTCGTGTTATCAAATAAATACTACACGCCGGCCTGTAAATTCGCACAGAACCCATTCCCTAGAAAATCTCCAACACAGCTTGAATACATATTTCCTGTGTTAACTCAGCGCCTAATGGTAACCCTGGTGAAAGGGCAGGATTGAAGTAATGGGACTCACCACCTCCTTTTAGCTTCCAAACATCAACAACAGAGCTGGGAGTTGTTTTGGTATTGTAATGGTATCATGCTCCTTTACTCACCTATATCCCAGCTGTACGCATTGGCCTCCATCTCCATCTTGCCGATGATGTACCAGATGCAGGCCATCCAGTGGGCTAACAGGGCGAACATGGACATGAGCAGCGTGAGCACCACCGTGCTGTGCTGCGAGTAGCGGTCCATCTTCTGGAGCAGCCGCAGCAAGCGGAGCAGACGCACAGTTTTCAACAGGTGGACCACTGACACCTGGAGATAAAGAACAAGGGGAATCTATTCTTAGGGTGTTTTTGTTAACACAGTTATCATTTGTTAAAGAAATACTAACCACACCGGCAAAATGATCACTTATATCAATAATTCCTCCGCTGCCAATTTTGCTTATCTTGCACCAAGAAAAGAATCCCTAAACAGAGAACGTACTGATGATTTTATTTTTTTGTGGAGGCTACGTCTAACAACAGTGAATCTTTATCAAAACCTCACAGAGTTTAAGAACTCCCACGCAACTCATGCAGCATTATTCAACTGAAATTTGTGCAGTTGTATGCTCACTACTTTCCCCCCCCAAAAAGTCCTTAAATCCTATTTAATACACTCCTGCATAAACAGATACTCCAACAGGATAAATGACACTTTGATTCCATTGAACAAGATGTGTTCACGTTTTTAAATGTATGTTTTGATATAGTGTAAGACTTTTCTTCAGTTTTGATTTAATGTGGAGGCATGTGTCAATAATTCAAGGTACATGTCTAACACTGGAAGCACCATATAAATGATGTACAAACTAAACTGTCAAAAACAATAGGTATTTTGTATCGCACTAAGAACATTCTGGAGGAACAAATACTCTTTATAACAGCAAAAACTACAGTAAACAAACAAGCGAAATAGAACATCAATACCGTATTCAGCGAGCAAACAGAACAAGCGAAGACCATACAAGAGAAAATGAAGACTGGTACAATAGCATGAGACACACCAAGAGCAAGAACGGAGAGAAACAAGAAAAATACACAGTACAGCAACACACAAGTACAGGGAGCCCATATGTGACATACTATCCACACTAATATAGTAAGTACAACTACACAGTACTTCATCAAAGATATCATTCATACTTCCTTTTATACAAAATTAGAAACCCGTACTTACCTAATGCGGGATAAAACAACAACAAATAATCACGTAGTGGAGGCGTGTAAACAACAAAAAAAACAAAATCACACACAACCACCACCGCTCGTCCATCGTCTCTCGTTCCCTTTGTTGTTCCGCCCATCCGCTCCCCGCGCACATCACACACAAAGACACCTCTAGAGGTAGATACAGGGGAATCCTATTAACTATAACCTCAAATTACTAGTTTACAAGACGTCATATACACACAAACAAACAGGGGACGACCTCCGTGATGAAGGTTATCCCTCCAACAAGATAAACACCGAATACCGACCAAAACGAAAAGACACAAATTTCTTTCTATACCACAATTGTCCGGTTATATCGTTGGGTAAACCTAAGTAAGTTAACTCCCATATGATAAAGTTTACACATAATAACCTTAGGGGTTAATCGAGTAAAAGAATGTACCTACTCACATTTTCCATCATACAAATGTTCGTTCGCCTGATGAATGCGTGTCTTGGTGTTAAATGTATCGACAATTCGTTCATGTGCCGGGTCAATAGTTGTAGCATCTATGATGGCTTTACATTAACCTGTGCTAACCAATTATACTACAGTATCGTTGTAAATCCGTGTTGTGTGTGGTCTATGTATAATGTCTACCTTTATAGATCACAACATGCTAATAAAGAAGACATGAATAGACATAGACATACGATAAATTAGTCACTTTCTGATTTTCAATTGTTGTCAGAGAAAAAGTTTTATTATCCGAGTTTGTTGAGTACTTTGTGTTTTTCTTCACTGTGTAAGAATCTATATACTGTCAAGTACTCTAATTTACACAAGCTAAATCCTTTGTTATTGAAGGCGACAACATCTTATATAGTTACCCTCAATTTTCAACTGTAAATACACCACATACACGAAACTTGGCTATCTTGTTGTCATAACTTTTATCGTTAGGCTATAAACAATACGACGAGGTTCCGTTCGAAGGACAAACCAAAGCTGAGGCGATAGGTACCTTCTGGTGTACGGTCATCACGGTTCCTAAAACCCATTTCCCCGGGTCACCCGGTGTACAAGGGACGGCGGCGGAGCCGTCTCACCCTCCTGGGCCAAGCAAAGACTACAGAGGAGACTTCCTGCCTGTAAGTCCGGCTACAGGGGGAAACTCCTGTACGTAGAATGGGTTTATAGGGTCCACGGAGTCGGCCCGCAAGGGACGACAAGGAGATGGAAATGAAAAGACAACACAGGTAAAGACGAAGAGATTAGTCGACTTGGGTAAATTTGGGAAAGGATGTGCAAAACGGTCCAAGTAAAAAACGTGTCAACTTAAATAAAATGCTCCCTCCAAAGTTGTTTTGGAAAAAGTGGACAAAATTTCTAATTTTTCTCCTTGAATCTCTTTCTAATAAGACCACATGGTGAATCTTTGACCAGTGGTGTAAAAACCAAAGAGTAAAAGGTATCATGGCCTTTATATAAGAATAAAGTCAAGTTCAAAAAGGGTTAATGATCTACTAATAGGAAGTTGGGACTAGAGTTCCAAAAAGGATAAAAACCTCTTCATGTAAAACCTGACAGGAGAGATATGAGAGGACAGATGAAGAAATTCAAAATTTTATTGACCAAATTAGTAGGTATAGAGCATTAAACTTCTGTGTTTATTATCAACCTTTCTCACACCAGTCATAATCTATTTACGTTCACATTGGCCACCAGCAATTCGCAAGAGACGCAGACACAAAACGCAACAAGTACCTACTGGGCTCCGGTCGATGTCAAAAACTGCTAAGGGAGCCAAAATAATGACTGTTAGACTGTTGTATATGGAGGTTAGGTGGAATAAAATGCGAAAGGGGAGTGTCACGATAGGAGAGTGCTCAGCTTGTGAATGTTTTTCCCTTCTCCTTTTGCACTCCCCGTGTTATATATCGCCCCCCCCCCCCTCAGGAGTGTTGGTTATTGGAGGACTCGTGTCGCTGTGTGTGAATCTCCAAGGCGGGTGACTAGAGCTGGCAACAGTCCTAAACTTGTAAGTTAGTTTACTTCTTGGTGTCTTAATGAATTTATATTTTGTGTCTTAAACACACTAAATATGTTTATTTGGGGTGACGTATAAAATGTTGACAATGTGTTCCGTATCTGGGGGACGGTCACTATATGTATAGTTTTTGTCGTTAACAAAAGCGATACTACGAATTGACGATGTCAATAACAATCGAGGACCGGAACCTCTGATATCTCGTTTTGTAACAGTTACGTAGGAATAAACAGCAATGGTGAGTAGGTTATTTTATGGTACTTAGTCACGAACCTACACTAACCAAACAGATTCTCGCTTCCGACGTCCTCCCTCTTATTACTTCGTAAAGACATTTCAATTAATAACGTAAATACAATTTTTCGATCTCCCGTTCATTCGAATTAGTCTTGAAGTTACATTGCAGGTGTGGGACTAGTCCTCCTCCTTTACGCTGCACCAGTCCTCAACCCCTAACTTCACCTTTTCACCTTCCCCTTTCATCTTTCTCCATAAACAACCCATGGTGACGAATGTGAACCGAGCACTCGACTCTTCTTTCCCCGCACGCGTTCGGACGAGAGGAGGTATCCACCCTACGGCCTAACCACTATCTACCCACCTCTCCTCTACTCGAAGAGGGGTCCGAGCCCGTCCTCCCGAAGTGAATGGCCGGAGGCTACGACGTGGGTGAGGTATTAAAGGAGTGTCGTTCTCACACGTCCTTGGCGGTATTTTGTGGTCTCTGCCTCCTCTCTCCTGAGCTGACAGGTAGTAACGGAGGAAGATGTCATCGAAACAAGTTTGCGAGTCTAACAAATTTGTAGAGAGAATTGTGTGTGTGTGTGTGTGTGGTGTGGTGGTGTGTGTGTGTGTGGTGTGTGTGTGTGTTGTGTAGATAATAACTGCTCCTACATCCTGTTCCTCCCACAAACAGTGGAAAAATAACCCATATACAACGCACACACCACACACACACACACCACACACACACACACACACACACACACCACACCAACACACACACGCACAACACACACACACACACACACACATACACGGACGACGGACGGACGACGGACGGACGGACTCCTCCTCAGAGTTACACTACTGGAAGGGGTAGTGTTAGTTCGTCGTGTTCACCAATTCCACACTTTCCCTTGTAAACCCCCCTAGTAATTCACATTCAGTCAGCTCCCCCTCACGGTCGTTTTTCGAATCTATACACAATAGACACGCGTTTCTGTCTTCTACCTCATACGAGCCCCATCTCTTTATGACTCCTAACCTCTACTTAATTGTTTTGTTTGTTGGAAAACCTGGATCGTCGGAACTAACGCGAGGTAAACCCATAAAATATTAGTTCATGAGGGAAGTACTTTACTCAAAGGTATACCCAAGATATAACACCTAAAAAACCGTTCGTTAACAGGGTAAGATTAAAATCTTAGACTCTCTGTAAACTTGTCGGAGATTAAAACCTTCTCGTGGTAATTCGTGGCAAAGGCTCGAAAAATAGTGCACACACACACACACACCGACAACGCACACACACACACACACACACCACACACACACCACACACACACACACACCACACACACACCACACACACGCAACTACACCACGCACGCAGCACGCACGCACGACGCACGCACGCACGCACGACGCACCACGCACGCACGCACGCACGCACGCACACACACACGCACGGTACGTACGTACACGGAAACCGCCAAATCGGTGAGAAGGGGGACTTACTACATAACAGACATTATTCTCCTCCCCTCTACTACCGTCGGGACGAGGAGTGTAAGTATCAAGACAAAATTTAGAGAAATATAGGACACATACGAAGTAGACTGAAACCGGGGAGGGTCGTCTTGAAGTCTTTTAAGAGGTCTTTTCTTTTCGCTTCCAATAGAAAAACGTTATAACTTAAGGGGACGAATCACTCCTTGCTTTGTGTACACACGGGAGTTCCTCGGACACCATCTTTCTCTCTACTAGTGCTATGTCAGCATATTACTGTTAGTACACAAAAAAGACTCTGTAACTACCGTTAAGGATACCTTTCATTATGAAG